GGCAGACCAGGTGAGTGGTGGGGGCCTGGTCTGCAGGTCAGATACACTGCTCCCACCCAACCCCTGTGCTCTGGTATTGGGCTCTGTGGTTCCAGCACTGCGCCTTCCTTCCCCTTGCATATCAGCATTAGGTCCTGGGGGCCTGTAAAGGGGTTCCACCCTAGGGTGACTGTGACACCCCCGGAGTTCCCTCAGCTCTTGATACCTCTTTGTCTGAGCAATCTCCCTTTTGACTCTCCTGCCATGGATCGATGTAATTATAGTTTTAGTAAAAAGGAGGCTGCATCAGGGCTTCCTGAGCAATATCTCATACCCATGAACACAGGTATCACTTCTCATCACCTAAAGGGCATGCCCCCCTCATCTCTCCTTTTAGCCATGCCCAAGACTTGCAGATGTTACCAATCATTGGGTGTTAAGCTCCATTGTCCAGTCCAGTCAATCCCTCATCCCTGAGCCTTCAGCCCCAAGGTCAACTCTGATCAATTCAGGCCTCTAAACCAGGAACAGCTTCTGCCACTATTGGGGTTTGCAACCCCAGCGCCGTTAACCATGCCAGCCCTTCCTGGGCTTGGGCCCCTGTACCTTAAACAACCATCAACCCATCTTGGGCTTAGGCCTACATTCTCTACCCATTCGGGGCTCATTATCTCTAACAGATTCTACCCCGCCTTGGCTATGGGCTCCTGGTTGGTTTGTTCTAAGCCCTCCTGGGCTCTGGGTCCCTGGCCTTTGTTCTCACCTCTCATGGGCTACAAGTCTCTGACCCTGGTTCTCACCCCTCATGAGCTATGGGTCCCTAACCCTGGGTCTCACCCTTCATGGGCTATGGCCCTACTTCTTGGCCTTGGCCTCTGTCCCTCAAACTCAGCCCCTGGTCCCACTCCTGAGCCAGTTGACACCTCTACCACAGTCTCAATTGCTAAACCACCAGATTTGCCTATGCCAGCTCAGGTATTAGTCAGGAGGCTTGCTGCAGTCCTTCTGCTCATCTCTCCATGACAATCTGAAAGGTCTAGAAGTCACATTTTTGATGTCTGTAACTGTTGCCAGCCTTGGCCATTTTCAAGAGGTCTAGACTAACGTGCAGCTGTGCTGCTAAGCAGAAGGCCCAAAGCCTGTTTCCGAGTAACTGCAGTGTGAACTTTTGCAGATGTGATAACTAACTTGGTCAGCAAGTAAAGGGAACCATCAAACACAGTTAAACAAATCACAAAGCCTAAAAGCAGGTAAGAAAAGACCATGAAATAATCCATATATGCTATATCATAGCTTTATCTTAAAATAGCAATAGTAATGATTATGTAACCATATGTATTATATGTTATTTTGCTATCAGAGATATATTTTTGTTAAAATGCTTAGATAATTTGTAAAAACAGCCTATCAAAGAAGACCATAAAGTAAGGTAAAGAAGAAACAGAAACAGCTTTCCACAATGGGGAAGGAAAGGAAATAAGAAACCCTCCATCTTTCCCAGGGATATAAATCCCAAATACTTGACACCTTCCAAGTCCACAAAAGATCTGGTTCGGTTCACTTCCAAAAGTTTCAGTGAGACAAATAATTTTAAATATCAAAGGTCATTTATTAGACTACTAAAACCAGTCATCTATAAATATTGGGCATAGGCTGAAGAGAAATTTGGAGAACTCGGCAAATTCAAGAAGACCTTCTGCCAATCTCCATGCCACCCTTCTCCCACCTCTTGAGTCTCTCCAGCCAGTGTAGGTGAGAATCTATATTGTGTTGTTGTGGGAAGCCAGATAGACTTTGGGATAAATGTTTTCTGCTTTAAAGTGCAAGCAAATAAAATGTTGGGCTGTAGACCTATTTCTGCCTCTTTTTATACATAGCCTACCCACACGTTTACCTCTAATCTAGGTACCAGACCTGTCTTTTGGCATCACTGCTTTGGTATAAAGCGTCTTACTCTAGACCTATGCACTGGTGAAGCTTTTCCATATGCAGTGGTTGGAGTTCTTGTGTGCAGTCCTGGAGCCAAAGCATTCTCATGCCCCTTCTGCCATCTGTCCCTTTGCTGGCAGACTGTTCCCTGTGGGATTCCTGTCGGCATAATTTAGTGCAGGGTTTTTACAGTTACACTGAAACCTTTTTCTTCTCTTTTCCCCACTCACACATTCTATTGCCCTGTTCATTTTCAATCTGTGGAGGAATTTCACATAAGAACAAAATCCCACATATGGTGCCTAGTTAAAAAAAAAAAAAGAGAAACGGTGTCTGATGGCAGCTGCTCTTTTTCCAACTTAAGAAATAGGGTAGTAGAGGGTTAATGCTTAAAATTATAATGATGCTTTAAATTATTTTAGCCTGGGCACCTCTACACATAAATTTAAATGTGACTAAATTTAATGTGCATTAAGTGATTTTTGGCAGGTGTCTATGCATGCAGAGACTTGGGACTAACTTTCGCCCTACCATTTGCCCCAGTGTCTGCTGGGCGGGAGCTCCAGCTTCCAGCCACATGGCTGTCAGCACTTGGAGCCATGTTGAAGCCCGATCCAGGTGCCAGCACTTGGCAGCCATCATTAAAACAGAGCCGCACACTGTGACCTCTGGGCAGACTCTTCTTGTGGTGAGAGAAGCAGCATGGCATGGACACAAACAGTACATGACACCTCTGCTCCTGCCCCAGCTCTGCTCCTGTCCCACTGCTGAAGCACTGAAGTTTGGCACCTAGGGCAAAGCCCGCAGAGGAAGACTGCCCTCACCCAGTGCACAGATCCAGAGGGGCACATACCCCCCTGCCATTCTTGCTGGGAGTGCATGCAGGACCAGGAGATACCCTTCCCCCATTCCCATCCCCCAAAATGTTTTGGTCACATGGGGCTGTCACCCTGCTTGCCCCCTGCCCTTGCTGTGGCACTGTCCTGGCCACTGCAGCCATCTTGCTGGCCCACAGCCATTGCCAGCACCTGACTCACAGCCACCTTGCTCCTCTCAGTTCCCCAACCCTCAGTGACTTCCTGGACAACAACTGCCCCATGGCCTCCCAGCGTCCCCGCCACCACACAGCTGCTGCCGCCAGCCACAATAGCCAGGGCTCCAGAACACCACCTCTAGGACTGCCATCACACCCTTTCCACCAGCCCCACTGCCTTTGGTTCCACTGTGCCAGCCAGGACTGATGGCAGTGCATCATTCAATGTGACTGGGATGATAAGCAGTGGCTCAATGCCTTCAGAATGATCCAAAGCAACTTTGATGATCTGCTGCACCAGCTCTGGTCCCACCTGGAATGCCAGGACACTGAGATGCACCAGGCCCTCCCCACTGACAAACACCTGTCTCCGGCGCTGGTCAAGTTGGCTACTTCTGGCAGCCTGTGATATGTAAGGCACATGTTTGGGGTGGGCAAGACCACCACCAGGGAATCTGTCATGGAGGTATGTGGCACCTTTCAGAACATGCTTGTGGACATGATCCTCTATGTCCATAACTCCCAGGTGGTGGTCGCAAGGTTCCGGGCACTGGGGTTCCCACAGTACATTGGGACTCTGGATGGGATGCCCATCTCCATTATTTGCCCACCCCATTAAGGCTACCCCTACTGTAGCTGGAGGGGTTTCCATTCAGTGGTCCTCCAGGCAGTCATCAACCACCAGGGCACTTTCACACATCAGTGCTAGCTGCACAGGCAGCACGCACGATGCATGTGTTTTCCAGAACTTGGAACTGGACATGCTTATGGAGAGCAGGAGCTCTGCACCAGGAGTAGAGGACATGCAGCTAGGTACTGTTGTCATCCCACACCTCCTCATTGGGGACTCAGCCTACCTGCTACTCCCATGGCTCATGAGGCCCTTCACCAGGCACCTGGACCCCCACCAAACCCATTTTAATCAGCGGCTTGGGAGAACCTACACTATAATCAAGTGCACCTTCAGCCTCCTCAAAGGCCACTGGTGGTCCCATGTGGCCTGCTTCAAGGTACCTGATAAAAACCTCCCCCAGGTCATCATCACAGCATGTGTGCTGTACAATATTTGTGAGAGCTGGGGAGAGGAGTTCAGGGAGGCCTGGGCAGAGGAAGCTTTCCAAGTGGAGGCAGCCTGGTCGTGGGAGCATGCACTGTAGCAGCTGTGCCAGCAGTGGGTCCCCTCCAGCAAGGCCACAGATGAGGCACATACCTGCCAGTGGAGACCAGGGTACCAGGTGTAAAAGGCCCTGATGGACCACCCTGTGGAGCACTCCTCACTCTAGCACACCTGCCCCACTGCCCACACACCCCTTATCCCCTGCCAACCCCAAGCACAACTCTCAGAACATGCACATGGTCAAAAGAATAAAGCTTTCTTACCCTCACAACTCCCATCCCCATCCCTCCCCCACAACACATAGGGACCCCTCTCCTCTCTCCCCAATACACACAGCTCCTCCACCACCCTCTCCACCCACCAACAATAAAAAACCCTCTTTGCATAGTGACTATTTACAAAAGTCTCAGTCTTTCTGTCCCAGAGTGGGGGGGGGGGGAGGGTATGGGATGGGGTGTCTTAGGGGACAGAATCCAGGCACAGGTGCCCAGCACCCCAGCCTCGGGTCATTCCCCCACGGGTCTGAGGGCAGCAGCAGCCATGGTGGGTGGAGGGCTTATCCTCACTGGCTGGTGGCTTCCCCTCTGCCTGCCTGAGTCCAAGGCCAGCATCCCTCTGTGGTGCTGCACCTGGCACCTCTGGGCGCTTTACCTTATTGCACCTAAATTTGCCATTTCTAATTCACATTAAGGGCACTCACATGTAGACACATGCCCATAATGCACATTAAAGTAGGTTAATGCATATTAACACATCTCATGTAGATACAACCTCTCTGGCAAAACAAATCTGAAGCCATCTCAAAAAATATCAGATTTCCATACACAATGGTGACATGAAAAATTGACATGTCTTTTCCTATTTTTTACCTTAATTAGTTTAGTGTATCCTACCAGTTCAGAATGTCACCAAAGAACAATACTTGAAGAAAATAATCCTTACCTTTATAGCACTGGGGATAAGAAACATTGCTTGAATAGCACTGCACAGTAAAATCAGAAGCAGACCACACAGCAGGATGTGCATACCCCACTTTGCACTTAAATTCAACAAAATCACCATGGGGGATGTATTGTTTTCCTTTTGACTTCTCACTCAGCTCTATGCCACGGCTTTGCATTTCTGTCACATCGACAGTACATGGCTCTAGAATGAGGAAAAACAGGAAAGTTTGATGTCCATATTCTAATAAGACTCAGGGAGCATATACAGTATAATGAGAAGATGTCACATTACAATTATTATATTCCACCATTTATCACATTCAAGTGTTGCAGTCATAGCATACAGGGAAGTAGAGACTGATTAGGAGATGCTAAACAAAAATGAGGGATGAAAAAAATAATTACAAAATAAAATTATTACAGGGCATAAAATATTTAAAGCCTAGTCTAAGAGGTTATATGTGTTCTTTGTGTCTATGCTGCTGTTTTGCATCCTAGGTATTAAAGTACCACAATGATGGATGCAGTAAACAAATCTGAACAGACCCTGAGCCCTGTACCAGTTGCATTCTTCTTCACTCCTAAGCCCACATCTATACAACTGTTTGGTTTCTGTTCTGAGAGCCTAAGTAAAAGTGAGAGGGTACAGAGGTACCTGGATATGTCCTGTACATCAAGACCAAACCCTGAACAATATATCACCTGTTTTTTCCAATAATTACAAATTCCTTTTGCAGTTGTCCATAGAAAAAATGACTGGTTAGGAATCCTGGCATTGCCATTCTTGGCAAAAGTCAAAGTCCACTGAGTCTAGTATTGTACTACTGACAGTGGGATGACAACAGATGACTCATACCAATTGCTAAAAACCCTACAGCATTACTGGTAACTGGGCTAAAGCAAGATTCCCTAGTCTTTCAAAATCTTTGTGGTTATCATTTACAATTCTGGATATTCTTTTTATACATAAACAAGCCTACTCTTTTTTCTTAGATCGTAGAAACTTCGTCCCTCAAAAGAAATGTAAAATAGTCAGACTTTTAATAATAAAATCATTGTGTGTTACCACTTTTTGTAGCAATATTTTGAACCCAGAAAGAGTAAAATGTGTGCCTTTATGTATATTTACTGTAACAGGCTTGCCTTTCAGAGCTTGGATTGAGTCCCAGGCTTAAAATCTTGCTGGGTTGATTGGTGGAGCCCATCCACCAATCAGGAGGCAGCAAGAGGAGTTAAGTCACGCCCCTTTTTTGAGGGGAGGGGAAGAGGAGTTCCCCCACTCCCGGACCTGATTGAAGACTGCAACACTGAGGTCCACAGGACTTCAGGGGTGGGAGTGCCCAGCATGAGGGAAATACATCCGGGACAGAGAAGAGAGAAGAGCGGGGCTTAGAAGAGCTGAGGAGAGCTGCTCAGAAGGGCGAAGCAGTAGCCCAGAAGTTCCCCTGAAGACTTTCATCAATGGGGGAATGGTGGACGGCTCCAGTAGCTAGGCTCTTGGTGTTCAGCACGGTTTCCAGACCCTGGGAGCTGAGTGAGGCAGCTCAGGTCTGCAACCTCTGGCGTGTGGCCAGAGAGACAGTGCACAGGCCGGTGCATGGAATAGGACCTTTGGAGTGCTTGGGCAGCTCAGATCCTCAACCCCCAGAACGAGGTTGGTTGCTCGGTGCAGGAGGCACTGCACAGAGGGTCCGGGAGTAGACCAAGCTTGGTGCTGCACGAGGCAGCCCAGGCCTCGAACCCATAGCAAAAGGTTATGTCCAGGGAGTCCAGGGAACCAGATGGTGCTTGGGCTACTGAGCCAGAAGACAGGACAAAGCCAGAGGCCCCAAAAGCCCTGCATAGAGGAGCCCTGTTCCAGGGACAGTGAGCCCCCAAGGCCCACTGCAGGACGGGAGTAGACCAAGCTTGGTGCTGCACGAGGCAGCCCAGGCCTCGAACCCATAGCAAAAGGTTATGTCCAGGGAGTCCAGGGAACCAGATGGTGCTTGGGCTACTGAGCCAGAAGACAGGACAAAGCCAGAGGCCCCAAAAGCCCTGCATAGAGGAGCCCTGTTCCAGGGACAGTGAGCCCCCAAGGCCCACTGCAGGAAAGAGAGCAGCTTGGCGCAGAGGACGAGGGCCACCCTCCAAGCCTGGGAGCTGTGAGTTACAGGGAAAAGAGGATTCCCACAGGGGAGGGGGAGTCCCCCCTGTTTGGTTAAGGGCTCCTGAAAGTGGAGGTCCCACTGGGAGGGCCCTCCTAAAGTTACCAGCTTCTTTGTAGGGCTTGGGAAAAGCCCAAGGGCATTGGGGTTTTCCCTTCGGTTTAAGTTTATCTTTAGGGTTCTTGTGCCGTAAGTGGTGTGATGTCATGCCTTATATTTTGTGAACTCTCACATTTGTAAATTAGTAGATGAGTAGAGTCCTAGGGCTCTGCTGGGACAGCCTGTTGCCATTATTCCACCTGTTGTTTATTTGTATTTACTTGTGGCTTATTTATTGTTCCTCCCATACTTATCTATAGTTTATCTGTTAGCTAGCTATGTTTATTTTTGCGGTTTATCTGCTTCAGGTTAGATACTTACCTGGGACTTAGCTGTATCTGGAGCACTGGTATAAGGTTTAATGGCATTTACCAGGAGGGTATTGTTTGTTATTTGTTTAGCTATCTTATACATCTATCTATATATATTGAACATATGTTTATATCCATGTTTCTTTTCCTTGTGATAAGTTAATGTAAATACATTTGTATATACTTAAGTCCCCTGACTGTCCTGGCCTGGCTCTATAGGGACGGAGGGAAACTGAGCCGTCTGCAGTTCCCCCTTGCCCCAGCACACCTGTCAGCTAACAATCCCCAAGAAGGGGAGTATGTATCCGAGTTACCTGGGATACACGACCATTTGTTAGCAAAAATTCCCTTAAAAATTAAACCGTTCTTGTCATTGAAGGTCTCTTACCCACACAGGCTGGTGGTTTTGTCCAATTTCCATCATTACAAAAAGATGTATTTTTTCCTTCCAGTGTGTAAAAATGTTGGCACTTGTATTCCACAGAGGACCCAGAGGCATACTCTTTTTGGGAAAAACTAGTTATATCTCCATTATCAATAGCCGGTGAACGACCACACTTCTTTCCTGTTTCTACACAAAATCAATAGAAACAAAAACATGCATTGAAAGCACAAGGTGAAACTTCATGGAAGCCACATCCCAGTGGTAGTGGGAGGCACTGTAAACACTGCTTCCATGAGCAGGGTTTATTCCTGAGAAGAGCTGAAAGATAAGGGCAATTATTTGTATAGCAATTTAGGAAGAAGGACCATCTGTATATTTAGGACATTATGTTGGTTGTTTACAATAATTGTTACATTTATCAGATTAAGCCCTGCCCCCAGTGAAGACAATTATCCCACCAGAGTGGGACCAGGATGACACCCATTCATCCTCAAGATAAAAACCTGTTGACATTTAGTGCAAAGTATTCATAATATTCAGTGTATCCAGCAGCAGGGAAAGTGCTCAGAACCTTAGAAGACAGAGGTTTTCCTGAACAAGATTCTTGCTGTTTTAACCTTTATCTTCAAGCCAGAGAGAAAGCATATTCTCGGCCCACATTACCTCACCTTTCCTTTCCAGTCTACTGTCACCCACAGTTCTTTATTTTCTTCCTATTTTGAGCCACACTCTAGCTCACACTTCAGATTTTTTTTGGATGACACTTTCTTACATCATTTCACTCCAGAGAAATTCTTTGTGATTAATCATACTTACTTGGGATACACAGTGGAAAATGGATATTTCCATCAACACATGTCCTGACAGCAGGAACAGTGAGGTATAGCCTTTACTGCAGGAAAACTCCACGGTTTGAGCACTCAGAAGTATAACTGTACGTCTTCGGTTATTGTGTATGAACAGATTTTTGTCCTCCAGCTGCTTCTTAGTGATAGTACATGGGGCTACATGAAATCAGGAAAAGCTTAAATATGCTATTTCCAATCAAACATTCAGTTCCATACATGCAAAAGCCTGATTCATTTTTTATTTTTCATCACAATTTAACTAATATCTCACACTACAAGCAGATGCGGACAGGTAAGCTGTGAAGTAAGTTTGTTGCCAACTCAGCACTTGGGAGTGAGCAAGGAATCTCAGTGAATCCATGCAGAGTTTGAGAATGTAATGCCTATGTAATTTTTATTGTTTTCCACCATCCCTGGAAACATGAGTAACTGGTGCCTCTTGAGTCAGGGGGGAGATGTGCCCCCCTGACAGTAGTCAGCAATGGGAGCAATCCCACTGACTGGGAGGGTCCCCTGGTGGGCAATCCCACTGACTGAGTAGGGTCCCCCAGTGGATGATCACGCTAACCAAAGGGGGGGGCCCCTGGTGGCTGATCACAATAACCGAGGGTTCTCTACCCCCGATCTCACTCACCATGAAAGCAGCCACACTGCTTCCGGAAGTCCCGTGGCCACTTCCAGAAGAGGCATGGCTGCTTTTGCTGGCAGCCTCACTCCTCAGCCAGCACTCGTGTGGGGACACTGGTGCCCCCGCCTGCCCCTGTGCCCGCCAGCTAAACAGGGAGCGCAGCCTGGCAGGGGATGCACATGCACCCCCGTGCATCTCCTACTCATCGCCACTGCCTGGAAGGAAAGATATCAGGCATTCCTCACCACCTGATGGCATAAGTCATGCCATTAAGGTATGATGGAGGAATCTGAGGTGGGATTCTGTGGAGGAATTTGAAGAGAAGGGCATTTCTACACACAGGGAAGGAAGGCATGCAGCTCTGATTGTGCCAACATCATCCTAGATAAAGAAAACATTGTACCCCTGGTGATGATGTGCTGTAAAATCCAGTGGTGGCAAATTAGAGAATTCCCCAATTTCCTCTTTGTCAAATATTTCCATCAGATACCCCAGTGCAGCTTACAGAAGTAACCAGAAGGATGGCACCAGTTTCATCCCATATGGGGCTAACAAATTCTTGGCTATGGAGCCAATTGCCTATGATTAACTACTGAGGACTACAAATTCCCAAAAACCTAACCCGCCTCAATCAAAATACTTGCTAATTACCTAGACATTTTGGCAGTTGGGTCCAACTTCCTCGATTACATGTTATCCATTTAGATCCAGCCAGCATGTACCCAGAGTAGCAGCGGTACTGCACTCTGTCGCTTTCCTAGTATTTTGATTTTTCACCACTTAGAACGTCACCAAAATAGACTTCGGGGGGCTGTTCACATACTGGCACTATATAAACAGGACACACACAAAATGGATTATCCTAGGTGTAGTCAAGACATAAACGCCTGAAGCTTTCCAGCTTGTTCAGTCAGGTTTTCTTGTACAGATTTGGTAGCTTCTGCAGTATACAAATATTTCCCAGAATATTGAAACCTAAAATAAGACTTCTCTCTTTTTCTCAGCAAACTTGCAGCCATTGACAGGGAGGTTGGAGGAAGGAGCACAGGTTGCAGGAATCAGGAGCCTGGAACACACACAAGGAGGTTACTCTCTATGGGCATGGCTTCAACGCTTGTTGGAATTGCAGCCCCTCTTTTAGAAGAAGCCAGTTTGACTTTATCTGTGAAGTCATTTTACTCAGGTTGTAACACCAGAAAACAACCTTTCCAGTTAAAAAATAATCTCTTCTGCAAGCAGGTTGCCCTGGTGATTTTTATAATTTAAGAAATATTTCTTCTCAGAGGCATTACCATTGATTTCATAAACCAGACTAACTGTGACACATCCAGGCTGTTCACAGGAATTAACTCAGTGAAAATGGCAGGGTGGAGAGGAGTAGACTGCTAAGTATGGTAAAGGTTAGGTAAAGTCAGAAGACCATCCAAATACTCATCTTCTCATTAAATGTTAGCCAACCTGCCGCTCCCTTCAGAAACCATTTTTCTAATCTGATTTTTTCCATTTAAGCATGCACAAGGTTTGATCATTATAGCATCTACTTCCAAATTTTCAATTAAATTGGTAAGGTTTTTTCTCAGTTATTAGAGGAATACAGTTCCTAGCAGCTTATTGTCCAGGATCTGGTTTATTTGAAATTATTTCAATAGAATATTGTAATGATAAGCTAGCCCCTTTAGGGAAAGTTTGATGGTCAGAAATCAACCTACGAACATAACAAGGATGCGGTGAATATCCAGCCTTGCTTCAAAGGCTAGAAACAGACCATGGTCTTGGAGTGCGTTCAGCTGTGGAGCTGGATGCCACACATTGCTGGGTGCCACAGTTCACCTTGGACTTAGAGTGTGCAAGCAAAGGGAAATCCCACTTGCATACATGCCCCCATCCTGGGGAACAAAGAAATCTCCTGTAGAGGATTTACCCAATACACAGCTTCAGTGCAAAAAGGAAAAACTCCCATAGGGTTCCCCTCTCCCTGCTTGCAGACATGCACCTATTTCAGGGGGTATATATGTGCATGGGGGGAATCCCTTTGCAGGAGATTTCCTCAGTGTGTGTCTGTAAGCAAGGAGGCGGAGGGGGCTTGGGGAAATCTCATAAGGCAGCCCATTCCCCATGTCACTGCCAGAAATAAGTATACATTCTGTATGATCACATAGTAAATGGTTCAATGTAAGTAGACTCAGAAATGAAAGTATTGTGCTGGACTTAGGAGTTCATCAGGTACAGTGTGCCAAGCAAGGGATACTCTAAGGGCATCTATACACTTGTTCTGGGGGCGGGGGAGGGGAGGGAGGTGGACTTTAATTAGAGTGGCTCCGGAGCATCTCATGTATCAGCATCCCCATGCTTCAAAATGGTAGACAAGGTTATTTGGGTGAATCTGATATCTTTTATTAGACCAATTTTAATAGTTGGAAAACATTTTCTTAACGAGCTTTCGGGTTTAAAATCCCTTCGTCAGGCGGAGGAAGCATCTGCAGTTTGTGTGTGCTCTTCCTGGATGGAATGAATATAGGCAAGAGGCCAGAGGCTGGTATGCATGCAAGAAAGGCAGTGAAGATGTAAATTGAGGAGTCAGTGGGTAAGAGACAGGTTGGGGGGGAAAGGGGGAGAAGGGGGATGAATGTAGCAGGTAAATAGTGGAGAGGTACCTGAGGAGTCACGTATCAGGCAGGTTGCAATGTGTCATAAATCTAATGTCTATATTTAGTCCATGATTTTTTGTATCCAGGAGGTTGATGAAGTGAAGTTCATATGCTCGTCTGTAAAACGTGTTTTGTAATTCCCTTTGAGCGTTAGAACTGAGAGACTGGAGAGAGAATGGTTGTCTTGTGAGAAATGTGCCCCCACCGGTAATTGGACACTCTTGTCTTTAATAGATTTCCATTGTGTATTCATTCTGGTGAGCAGTTGTTGTTTGGTCTCTCCTACGTATTTTCCATCAGGGCATTTGGTGCATTGGATGAGGTATATTACATTTCTGGAGATGCAGCTGTAAGATCCAGGAATGCTGATGGTTCTGTTGTGGGGTGTAGTTATTGTGGGGGTGGTGGAGATGTCTAGACAGGTTTTGCATTTCTTGTCATGGCATGGTCTGGATCCATTTGGTGTGTTCTGGGCCGTAGAAAGTTTGCTTCTGGGGATGAGGTTAGCAAGATTCGGTGCTTGTTTGAAGGCTAGGATGGGTGGTTCTGGGAAGATCTCTTTAAGAATTATGTTTCCTTCTAGTATGGGTTGCAATTGTTTGAGGATTTTCCATATGGTTTCAAGGGAAAATGATATGTCATAACTACTGGCATGCAATTCATGGAGGGTTTTCTTTGGTACTGCAGTGATTCTTCACATGGCATCTGGGTGGCTCCTGACGTCTGACTCCCCAGGTACCTCTTCACTATTTACCCACTACATTGATCCCCCTTCTCTACCCCACCCCCAGTCTCTCTCTCACCCGCTGACTCCTCAATTTACAACTTCATTGACTGCCTTCCTTGCATGCATACCAGGCTCTGGCCTCTTTACTATTCATTCCATCCAGGAATAGCGTACAACAACTGCAGATGCTTCCTCAGCCAGATGAAGGTTTTTTAAACCTGAAAGCTTGCTAAGAATTTTTTTTTCCCAACTATTACAGTTGGTCTAATAAAAGATATCAGATTCACCCAAAGAACCTTATCTAAATATTTTGATGCTTGTCATACCTTACCTTCTGCCTGGGAAAAGTAAGCCCAGAGGATCTGAAGGAACATGTATCTCAGCAATGTCATTCTGAGGATCCAGAAAGGAAATCTAGCACCTGCAACAGCTGACATGTTTCTCTCCTCAGCTGCTTTGTGAGGCAGATCTTCTTGTACCTCCTATTGCTACAGCTGTGGCAACTGACTCTTGATCAACATCAAGGTATACAGATAACATAGATAAAGTCCACCATGAATGCAGTCCAAGGTTTTTATTTATTTTTAGTATAGTTTTTCATTACCTGAAGTTTCCCACTCACCATTATCTGAGAGACACTTGTACTGAGACAGACAATAGCACCGTTTATCTCAGAGAAGTTTCTTTGCTGTCAGGGTCAGAAAAAACAGGTTTTCCTAACTCAGTATTTCACCTTCGGTAGAGTTAAGTCACATGCCCCAGCATGGTTTTCATCATGGGTGACTGGTGCCTCCTGAGTCTGGGGAGGCACCAGATCACTGACGGAGTGGTTCCCCCATCGCTGACCGCAGGCGGGTGGGGGGTGTCCCTGAGCAGCCAATCACCAATCCAGCTGCAAAACCAGTGAAACTGGAAGTGCACTTCCAGTGGCACTTCCGGTTTCATGGCTGGCATGTCCAGGGGGTACATGGCCGATATCAGGGGGTGCATGTGCACCCGTGTGTACCCACTATGTGTTGCCAATGGTTTTCATTTTGGCATCCACAGGCAACTGATAGGGGGTGCACAGGGATGCGCGTGCCCCCCCGATGGGTGCCCCCCCTTGACGGTCGACACTGATGCTTTCAGTAGGGCTGATCCCGCCCCCCCGACAGGGCTGCCACTTTTGGAGTCTTCTGTGGGTGGCCCCCCCAGATTCAGGAAGTACCAGTCATTCATGTTAGCATCTGCTGTGTACTTCCCTCTTCTAAAATGAAAACTTAATAGCCTAAAAACAGTTTCTTGTACTAAAGGCAGACAGCCAAGGACTTAAAATAAGTTTTCTTGTTGGCTGCACCATGTCTGGAGTTTTCTAAGAGTTGATATCTCAAGCCATTCCTGATTCAGAAATCAGTTGAGAGGTTCCGTCGACTTCAAAACATTTGAGACTCACCCAGATAGTTGGTATTCATTGAAGTTTTCAACTTCCTAGTTAGGAACATGGGATAGCACATGAAAAACAAATGAAAGCCCTTCAACAAGAACTTTTACTGTGAAACCAGTTGGTCTAAGACCCCTAGATAAGAAAGAACAGTGGCTGTTCTTTCTTTTTACATGTATTTAAAGTCTTCAAAAGACTATCACATTTGTAATTTCTTATACAGGAGTTTAATCAGGAAGCAGAGGTGTGTTAGTAAAGTGTTTAGGCACCATTCAGGCACAGCTTGGCTGTTTGTACTAACCCATTCCATCCTAGAACACAAACGAAGAATTTAAGCAATGTATGTGTAACTGAATACACCCCTTAACTCAGCAAGGTCTCTTCTCCCAAACATCCTAGCAGAATCTGAATGGGTTAAGGATTTCCATGGAAAGCCATAAAAAACTTTTCTCATTCCCTTTTGACTCTGGGAGGGACAGATAGAGAGAGAGAGCAACTATCTCTGACTGATCCCTTCATATTTCCACTGAACCAATTTGTAGATTACCCACATTCTACCTGAACACCCTGCCAAGTGGTGTTTCCCATTTTTTCCCCATTTGCCCTTTTCCAAGGGATGGAGCAGGAAGGAAAAAGGATTGTCCGTGAAAACTCTCATCATATAAGGGAAAGCATTTATCAAATATTGATTAGGAGGTAACTGACCACACAGAGCTTCAGGATTTTGATTAATCACATATTGTTTTGGTTTGTCTTGGCTTGGTATTTAGGGATTCTCGTCATATGCAAGGTCTGTCAATGCTGTTACTATTTACTTAGTTTATCAGGCTTCTCTTCTTTCTTCGTGTTCTTCTGGGATGCCTGAGTACTATTTTAGAATGATTAGTTGCTGTTGTGAAGACCACAGGACATGGGCCATAGGGCATAGGCACTTATAAAAAAAAAAAGTTACCCTGTGTTCAGGACTGCATGATTTATATGTTAGGCACTGAAACCCACAAGAATGAACAGCAGAAGTTTGAAGTTGGGAAATCAAAGTGCAGGTATGTCTGTACTGCTCAAGTCCTGCACTAAGAAGCACTTGTCTGGAGTATAGTTACTCCATGTCCATTTGGAGTGGGGACCCTCTGGCCTCAAAGCAGCTTTAGGCCCCCTAGCCTTGAACATCTGTCCAGGCCTCATCTTTTCTGGCCTTGGCCCTTTTATTCTGGCTGTGCCTGTAAGCCCAGGTCCACTGCCCGGGACCTTGGTTCCTGATTCCCAGCCCTGTCTTCTTTCCCATGCATGCTCTGGGACCCTGGCCTACCTTGTACTCTGAGCCATTGGCCCTTATCTCACTGTCAGGGCTCAGGCCTGGCCCTCTTGGCTTGGGCCTTCCTTAGCCCACTACTGGGACTCAGGCCCCAGCACTCTCACCAGCAGCCCCTCCTGGATAGGTCTCAGAATCTGGAGTGCCTCCCAGGCACCCCTATATGCCCCTCCCCCCCCCATCCTCCTCTCCATCCACTACCCAGTTCTTTGGTTAAAAACAAATGGGGCCAGGCCCATGTGGCCAGTAACTGCCAGGACCCCATTCCTGGTTCATCTGCTTCAGGTATTAATACCCCCATGGTATTATCCCAGTCAAAAAAGAAGAAGAGAAAAAAAGGAAAGAGGGAGGAAATAGGGGGTCTCAAACTGAGATAGACTTTTCTTCCTTGTATCTGAGGCTTTCCCATCACATAGTCTTTTCTTGCCTCTCCAATAAATAGGCAGGGAGAGCAATTTTCCTAGCTCCCAATTCAGCTGTACAGCTCTTAGCAGATCCAGGAGAAAGAGAGAAAAGCCCTAGTTGAGTTGTTCTTGTGTACTTGATGTGACATCACTCAAGCCTTGTCCAATTAGGGAGTGCCACGCTTCAGCCTCTCTCTTACTCAACCTGCTTAGAAAATATTCTGCTTCCTCTGGCTAATGAGGCCAGAGGATTTTCCATATTTTGCCCAGATACAGGCCACAGCTTTCCATGTGCACAGCACATGGCCAAAATAACAGGGGCCATCTTACTCACATAAAGTTCATGATACACAACAACCAAAAGCACACACTTTACCATACTCAGCCTAAGTGTATGTGGGTGTTACATTAGCATGGCTCCACACTCCATGAGATGGAGCTGGGCCAGGAGGCCCCATGCTCCAGCTGCATATACATATTTGAAGGGTCCCAGGACTTGTGACAAGAACGTCCAGTTCCAGTCATGAGTAGGGGCCTATAATGGGCAGCCAAGGGCTCCTGTTAGCTTGAGTGAGAGACTGCAGCAGAAAGGGCCCCAGCCAGGGGTTAGCCAAGGGAGGGAAGGCAGCAAGGGAGCAACTGCAGCCTAGGCACAGTAAGTTCCTTGTCAAGGAGGGAAGACACACATGTGGCCAGTCAGGAGAGAACCTTACCAGGAGGGGAGGGACTCAGGGGATATAAGTCTGGGTTCCTGAGGCAGAGGGGAAATGCAGCCCTGAACTGTGCATGGAGGAGAGCTCCTACCACCACAGGAAGGCAAAAGATGGAAGCTGAGGACCAAAGGAGGTACCTCGGGGGACTAGGGAAGAAGCTCCTGAAGCAGCCTGGCTATTTAAGGCATTGGGATGGCACTTTTTGTTTTACTGTTACTGGCCAGATGGGCCTGGACCCCTCCTTTTTCAATTGTGGTCTCTCAGCACAGTGGTAAAGCTGAGACTGGATGTCCGGGCTGTAGCCATAGGGTTGGACCCTTTTTGCTGTTTCACAGCTATTATGTTTCAGCCTAGCTGTGTGGATGAAACCCAGCTATATTTCTGGCTAGCAGATTTGAGACAGGGTTAGACCTGGCACTTCCTGTTGATCCAGGCCTCGGTGCAGTATAGGCCTGGCTGGCTTCTGCTGGCCAGTTCATGCCCAGCAAGATAGGGCTGACCCTTCCTTCAAATTCTTTTGCAGTTTACTATTTACTTAGTTTATCAGGCTTCTCTTCTTTCTTCATGCTCTTCTGGGATGCCTGAGTACTATTTTAGAATGATTAATTGCTGGTGTGAAGACCACAGGGCACGGGCCATAGGGCATAGGCACTTAAAAAAAGTTACCCTCTGTTCAGGACTGGATGATTTACAGGATAGGTACTGACACCCACAAGAATGAAGAGCAGAAATTTGAAGCTTGGAAATCAAAGTGCAGGTACACCTGTACAGCAGAACTCCTGCACTAAGGAGCACTGGCCTGGAGCATAGTTACCAAACCATTTCCTTAATTCAGACCCTGGTGTCACATCACATGGCCCCTCCTCAATCATTCCAATGTCCTTGAACCTTTCTGTGGCACCCCAGTTCAGACATACTGTTTAAGGGGTTCAGTAAATGCAATGGAAAATCAGTCCCCACAACTGTGCAAGTCAGTTGAAAATCATCTTGTCTAGGTTTACCACTTTCCAGTGCACCAAACTTCTCTTTCACTGTCCCAGACTGCCTACAATAATTGCTGTAACTCCACTGGGACAGGATCTGGACCCTGGTCTGGGGATGTTTCTAAAGACACCCTGTAAATGTGAAATTCTGAGACCTTGGGGTTTAGCTTAAAGGCCCAACCACATCCCTCCACAGTTGAGGCAAACAAGAGGGGCTTCTGACCCTTTGATGGCAGGTATAGTATCAGTACCCACGGTTGACAGGCAGAGTCTTCCCAGCTGTTACAACTTTGCTGTACCATTCAGCTCCAAACCTCTCTCCCCCCTCTGCTGCTTATCTCCTGAGAACAAGCTGAGATTTACCCCTCTGGTGACTTCTCACCCGAGTAAAATTAGTTCTACCTCTTTGAGTCTAGATTTGTGTGGCAATTCTAGACTCAGACTAGACTAGACCCAGAAAATAAAGTCATAGACCCAGCAAAGAAAGTCATAGGCCCATAAAAAATTAGGGTTGGAAGTGTTGGATATATGACCAACACACAGGTTCAGCAAACCAAGGTTTATTGCACGGTATATGGATAACGGAGACAAACTTAGAGCTTATAAAA